TAGGTAGATTGTGAGTAAGGCCTTCACAAACACTAAGTTGAGAGTGTCCAAGTTTTGGTCTTCTGTGCAGCCAGCTTTCCAACCTTCTCAGAAACTGACAGGACCCTCAGGGTTCTTTGCCTCTGAGAGTCCGCATAGGCAAGGATCAAATTCTGCGACTCTTGCGATCTCATTCAGTACTGAAACCATGTTTAGTAAACCGTGGGAAGTGCATTCCAAGGATTGGCCATGATTGGCCAAACCCTGTCTGGTTGGTACAACGCTTGATCACCGCTAATGGATGCTTCGAGCGCAAAATTCTTGCCACAAACAGGGCTTGCTGGTGATGGTTCCAACCGCGGTGCTCTTGAGCATTGAAGCCCAAGAGTTCGTTTGTTGAAGCTGTCCTACCATTGGAAAAAAACTACAGTGTCCACGTTGCCTGCTAGAAGTCCCACACCCTTTGAGTTTGCATTGAACAAGCAGCTTGGACATATCAGTATTGCTGTGTTGAAGGGATTCCTCCATCACCTTTCGTCACCTTTCGATGGCACGCTTTGGAGCGAAGGAGAGCTGTGCCATCGCGGTCGCATCAGCTCTAACAGCCCAAAAAGTCAGCGATGGCGAGCCAGGGAGACACATGATCTGCCAGCAAAATGGGAATCGGTCAAAACCGTGGTATTCACTGTGAACACTGTGAACATATGTGAACATCTCAAACATCGCTACATTAATGAAGAGACTGCGGTCTATGTTGGGATGTTCACCAGATATATCAATGGCATTCAATGGCTGGGTGAGTTGGTACCATATTGACCCTCAAAGTCTAAACTCTCAATGGAATGTGTGGAAATCACATTTAATGTGCCGCTCTCGCCACCCACAACCGACCTCATCACAGGGATGAACAAGGTTCGTTTAAAGTACTACGCCATACGAGCCACTTAGGACTCGAAACTAGATTTTGCAAACGATGAGACTTATTGACTTATTGGACAATGTGGCAATGCTGGAAAAAACATGCCATGCTACTGGGTTTGCCATGCTGGGAAAAGGCTGGAACTCTCGACAGCATTTCTTCCTCAACAAGGAGACAACATGAGACAACCATTGTCTGAATGCGAACCAGAAACAAGCTGTGAACCAGAAGCGAAGAATCCCTGGAAGCACTTGTGTTGCTGGGTCGTACAAAACCTCTGTGCCAATCGTTACAGGGGATGGTCCTGCTGATTCTTTGATCTTGAATCTCAATCTTGCTACACTGCCACACTGCACACAGTCACTCAGCTGGCTCCATGTGTTAGAAGTCAGCATGTTGCAACTCCTGCACTTTGCAAATTCGAAGCTGATAAAGAACTGACCATGAAAAAAGGGTTTCTTGTTCCACGCAAGTGCATTCTGGACACACAGAAGCTTCCAAGCTGGTGATTTTGCAGCTGCTTGCGATTTACTTCCACAAGTTTCCAGTTTCGAGCTGTCCTCAGTGAAAGTCCCCTTTGGGCCAGTGGGGAAAGAAGATTCGTGGATCGAAATCACAAGTCCTCAGTGCGGGTAGACTTTGGAAGCTGCTCCCCGTCCACAACCCGACATAACCCAGATCTCCCAGGTCCTCAGGTGATTGGATCATTCTCCATTCGCATCTGTCGAGTAAAGCCAAGTGACGGATCTTCCAGGTAAGGATGATCTGGATATTTGTCCATGAACTTTTTCAGGGTGATGTCTATGCGCCTCGTAGCTGATCATAGCTGGTCGTAGCTGATCGTGCTCTGAAATGCATGGCGAAACAAAAAATCCTTTTGCCGGCAAAGGAATCAAACAAACCAAGGAGTAAGAGCCACAAGCAGTTTAAAAAAAGACCCTTGTCGTCATCATCTTCATCATCATGATAATATGTTTGCCGTTTGCCTTTTTTTCTCCTGATCCTTGATTTTCTTCTTTTTCTTACTCCTCTTCTTCCTCTTTTTCCTGTTCGTCTTCCTCTTCTTCCTCTTCTTCCTCTTCTTCTTCCTCTTCTTCCTCTTCTTTCTCTTCCTCCTCTTCTTCTTCCTCTTCTTCCTCTTCTTCCTCTTCTTCCTGCTCTTCCTCCTCGTCCTTCTCTTCCTCCTCCTCTTCTTCTTTTTCTTTGTTTTCTTTGCTTTCTTATTTTTCTTTTGTTCTTCCTCTTCTTCCTTCTTCTTCTTCTTCTTCCTTCTCCTTCTTCTTACCATTATTACTATTATCATTATTGTTATTGTTACTATTGTTATTACTATCATTATATATTATTATTTCTACTTTTACTATTAGTAGTCTTCATCTTTCTCACATTCCAGGTTGACAGTATTCCTGGCATTAATTACAGAAACGGGCATGATATACCCATTTCACCTGACATCATCATCTCATCCACACTGCACCAGGCTGTCGCAGCAATTTGACGCCACCGGATCCACCTCTGATTAGCGTCAGTGGAGTTGATGTTATCCCAGAAGTGCAGCATCTTTCCCTGGCGAATAATTCAGAAATTCAGACTGTAATGATTTAATGATCAGTTGTATGTGTGAATCTTTGACTAGTAGTTGACAGAATTATGATCATAATTTTCTGGTCTCGACATGATGAATTTTGAAGCCAAATGATTTGATCATTGGATTCACCGATCTATATTAATCTATCTGTTCTCGCAGAAATGCTCAACCAGTGCCTACTTTTTCAGTGCACAACTCTATTTGAACCCAACTGCTACAGCTACAGCATCCAGCCTTGTCGGCGCTGCGGCTATACTCATAGCCACCCTTCTTCATGAGATCATCAAAGCTGCTAATGCCTGCAGGACCGAACTCAGCATGCCTAAGTTGCACCTTTGATTTTGGGATCTTGGAGTTTCTCGAATGGCTTTGGTACCTGAACATTTAGGGGAACAACAAAGGAAACTAATTTATCATTGCTTTCGCTATCAAAATGGCAATATGGGTGTATATACCATTCTCAAACGGACCCCACATGAGAGATCGCACCTTCCAGCTCATCGATGCTAATCTCTCCAACCTTTTTGTATGTGTAGGTGCAGTCGATCTCCCCTGTGGGTTCTTCGACTCCTCAGGCAAAGTAGTTGCAAAGTCTTGAGAAAAACAGAGCAAGTTACAAGAAGACGTGCTAACTAGCTAATCCGCATCGGTGTGGAAGTCTTCCGGACATGTTCTCAGGTGTGGCAAGCCATAGCAAGCCGTAGCAAGCCCTTGAGGGAAGCCAGAAACCCACACAAACATCGACATCCGTCAGATCTGGGGCACCCTGGCCGTCTGGGCAGGCACCACTGGGCTCCCGTAGGGCGCATCCCTTGTCTTTGGCCCAAAACCTGGTGGTTTTTCATCTGAGTCTGGATGGGCCATCAATAAACTTACGTATATTACATATATAATTATAGTATATATATATATTACACATATAAACATAAATATATTCATACAAATGAAAATATATTACATATAGATTTACAAATATGTATACATGTGTGTATACATACATAGGCATCCATGTATTTTTTCTCTGATAACTTCAAGCTGCCCTCACACTGGGCCACCCTGACTTTTTGGAGGAACATGCGCCAGGCAAACTGTACCAGGCAGCATCTCAGCGTGGCTGGTCGAGTGTGCCACCTCCCTGTGGTTGAGATGGATTCCCAAGTGGCTTACTGCCAAAAAGGGCTGAAATCTCTGGGTCACTACGGTCCCGAGATGCAAAGAGCATTCTGTGAGCTGGTCTATTTGACGTTTTGTACATCCACCTGAATAGTTTTTTAGCCAGACTTCATCCCTACCTCTTGTACAATTGTACAATGCATGTCTTACAGAGTTCAACTGGGGTCAAAGTGGTAAAAGTCGCCATGCTTCCTCCACCTCTCCAGTTCCTGTTCTGGCTCTGAACGCAAACTTCTGAGAATCCCTGGCGTGGGTACTTCACACGATGGAACCTCAGCGGCTCAAATAATAGGCCCCAAAATATCCCAAAATCTCATGGTCAATCGGGTCAATCGGGTCAATCGGGTCAATCATATTGAATCATCATATATTCCAAATGGCCGTGGGTCTTATCCAGGATTCTGACACAAGAACCTCCGCAAAGGTGAGTCGGATCAAAAGGCCGGCGGAAGTGTTTTCAGCCCAAGACCTATGTATGAATACGTATATACATATACATATATATATATAATATGTATATATATATATATATATATGTGTGATATATATATATACATATATATTATGTATATGTATTGTATACATATATGATGTACATTATAGACTACCATCTCAGGGATTCAAGCCATTTGAAACACACCAGTCACGACTCTACCGCGAGCGAGGCTCCACTCCTCGTGAGGGAAGTGGCTCATTTTGCCCTCATCCCAGGTTTCGCAACCAACCTTTGCAGGCGATCGAGACTTCGAGAGTTCCCAAAAATCCGCCTGAATTGTCGTTAACCAGTTAACCAGCCTGAAACAAGGAAAAATTAGGGGATGATTCTCCTTTCCCTAGCCACAGTGACATCCATTGGTGGCATCTCTGGGCTGGGACCCGTGCGGTGGGGCCGTAGTGCTTGATGTTTTGGCACTTGAAGGGTCCAGTGCACTCCCCCAGGTCATAGGTGTTCACGATTCCGAATGTGAGACCTTTGTTCCAGAGCCTCGGAAAATCGTGGTGAAATACTGCCTGAATGATGTGAACTGCCTGAGTTTCCTGGATATTTTGCACTGGATTTCAGTGGCCCAATAGAAGCTGGGTGCACAGACTGACAGGTGGGTCGCATCTTTATCCTCCACTGCTCCAAGCGCGTCTTGGGGGTGCTTGAGAAGCTTCCCACCTCATAGCTGGCTGTTTCCATAGAGGATGCCGGGAAATTGGCAAGAATGGGTTACTTTCACGGGCCAAATGGATTACGTTCTGGGATTTATGCTAGGTGATTTGCGGCGGAAATGGAAACTACGCTGGCTTTCTCCATGACTTGTCCAATATAATCCAATATCATGGGGATTGCGATCCAATTTCCGTTGCCTTAATCTAGTACAGGACAAACCCATCGAAAACATGGATCCCCGAATCTGAAAATGTACTAATCATCTGTTGCACATGCCGGTCAATTGATTCCATTAATGCATATGATGCCCATCCTAGACTTGCCAAACAGGCAAACTGGGATGCCGAGTGGCCCTGATCCAGTGATGCCAAATAATCTCGTTGTGCAAATACCAGAGCATTCCACCTAGAGCACCGCGGTCACCCAACATCAACACGTATCAACAAATATCAAATTCTTCAAGCAGCACGTTCCCACGCCTATGTTCGCCATGTCCTGGTTCACCGGAGAATAGTTCTCATCAGTCTGGGCTCGGTACATGTAGAAGTCCAGCAATGGGGCGTCAGGACATCCTCTCTTCTCCCATTCATCAGTGGTTTTCTGGGCTTCCTTGGTGGCGTCCTTTCGCGACCACGAGAAGCCTGGGGGAGCTACAGAAGCTTTGACCATCACTGACCAAGATGCTGCTGCCCGGCCTGAGGTCTCATCCGAAGCGCCAACCTCAGGACGTGGCAGATGTGGATGTTGTGGTTGTGTTTATATGTGTTTATGATATTATTATTCTTACTGCTATTGTTCCTTCTTCTTTTCCTTCTTCTTCGTCTCCTTATTTTCTTCTTCTCATTGTCCTTCTTCTTCTTTTTCTTCTTCTTCTTCTTCTTATTCTTCTTCTTCTTCTTCTGTTTTTCCTTCTTCTTCTTCTTCTGTTGTTCCTTCTTCTTCTTCTGTTTTTCCTTCTTCTTCTTCTTATTATTATTCTTATTATCATTTACTATTATTATTATTATCCTCCTCCATTTTTTTATGCTTTATTGCTCTTCTTTTTCTCCTTAATGGGTTTTCTTATTGTTCATTATCATAATAAAACTTGAGGCCGGGGGTGGATGACGAAAGCTAGCGGGGTAGGAGAAAGAAGGAAGGGAAGAGGTGAGTTGCGGAGGGACTGTCATCATCGTGTCGCGGCATTGTTCGTCCCAACGAGGATGCAACAATGATATATTGATATATGATATATAACAATGATATATATGGGGGAGGGGGCAGGGGGGGGCCCTTTCGCGGGAAAAATCACGTGATGTACTTGGGGAGCCCCGGAATACGTGTTAAAGCAAGAAGACTCTAGCGAGCTGACGCTAGCTTTCGTGATAATGACAATAATTGCCAATAATGATAAAATGTAATTGAATAACGATGATGATGATGATGGTGATGATGATGATGATGATGATGAATGATGAATGATGAATGATGAATGATGAATGATGAATGATGAATGATGAATGATGAATGATGAATGATGAATGATGAATGATGAATGATGAATGATGAATGATGATGATGATGATGATGATGATGATGACTAGGATGATGATGATGATGATGATGATGACGATGATGATGACGATGACGATGACGATGACGAGGACGATGACGAGGACGACGACGACGACGACGACGACGATGATGATGATGATGATGACGAGGACGAGGACGATGGAGAGGACGATGACGATGATGATGACGATGATGATGACGATGATGATGACGATGATGATGATGATCGTGATGATGATGGTGATGGTGGTGGTGGTGGGGGAGGGGGGGGGCCCCTTTCGCGTGAAAAATCACGTGATGTCCTTGAGCAGCCCCCCCAATACTTGCTAAAGCAAGAAGACTCCAGCTAGCTGACGCTAGCTTTCGTGAATAATCATCATCTGCTTCTTCATCATCTTCTTCATCTTCATCATCTTCATCATCTTCATCATCTTCATCATCTTCATCATCTTCTCATCTTCATCTTCCCCTCATGATCATATTAAACATCGGCTTTGCAACAACTCTTGCACACTGTTGACTCTGTCAGCCTGGGTTTTCCAACGGTGGCATCACGACCAAATACAAGCGGGATTTTTGGAATCCTTGCAGCGGAAAGACGAGGCCAGAACAATGGTTGCCATTTCCAATGCATCCAGGCGGCCACCAAGAAACCACGCCCACCTGGTTCAAAGAAGGCAAAAGCCGTTCTGGAAAGTTCTGGAAGGTATTGTGGTTCGACAGATCAGCTTCGTTTCTCAGACCCTTCGTGGAACATCGCCCACTCTGTTTCGCACTGCATGTATCTTTGTCATATGTTCATGCATACATGTACACATCTCTGCACATGTGAATATTTTTACGTACATGTTACATATGTCTCAAAACGCAAAACGTCTTTCTGTAAATCAAGCAAACTCAGGTCCTCGTTCCCTTTGGTTAACTTGTCTTTAGCCTCTCACTTCATTTCAGTTGCCATACATTTGCCCGTCCCTTCAGGAAAATCGAGGATCAGTTTGGTACCATGCACTATCATTCTAAAAAAAAATGTGGTGGTGAGCCCCCCCTTTTTCATCAAGACATCATGGTCCGCAGACCATGGTCCGCCAAGGAGCCAGTAAAAGCGCCGCTGCGATCTTCAAGCGAAATAAGAACCAGATGGACGGTGAGGGCGGCGCCCCTGTGGCAAGATGGCCTAATGGCTGCATCATTCTGCAGCTATTCTGAGGGTCTCAAAATCAGAAGTCCAACTTGAGCTTGGTTGACTCTTCAAAATGTCCACACCATCATGTGAACTTCACATCATATCGGCCATGTGAGTCAAAATCCATTCAAACCCTGTTCACACCAAAATAGCATAGCTGGGATTATTTATGGATGTTCATCAGGTTCATCCAAAAAAATATGGTAATGATAGGTTTGGACGTTTGGACCCATCCCTGGACCCTCCGTAAAGGCCTTCGATCAGTTCCTGACGCTCGGGATCCTCGCCATGTCGGAACAACGGGACATGGGGATTTCATGGGTCTTAATGGGAACTTAGTGGATTTTTGTGGGGATTCGCTTTTAGTGGGGGATTCTTCACTCTGTTAGTAGGATCCCAACTTCTCTCTTTCTTGGGGTTGCTGTGTTGGATATAATATATATAATATTATGTATATATATACATAAATTTATATATTTGGGGTACCCAGTCTTCCAGTCCTAACACTTCGATCGCCATATGTTGGTCAACTGACACTCTGAAAACCTACCGCTATTCATTGACAGCAACATGGCTGTGCAACAACACAATGTGTTGTTAGAGGAACTATTTTCACAAAGAGCTTTGATGAATCATTGATGCAGGTTCCAGTGCCGGAATCCCAGAAAAGGGTGTTTGTCGCTACATTTCTGTTTTTTTTGGTTGTCAAGGTCAAATGACCAAGTTGATTGGCCTGCTCAGTACCTACTGTATCTTCATCAGAAATCCTGCGAGACTTGATGATCGGCTGATATGCGCCTCCACCAACACTCGCGAATCAGCTGGGGCCACCATCGGAAAGTCTTTTCTCTTGTCTCTGTTGAGACCGCCAAACAATTGAATGGACAAAAGAGGTCCGTGAGTTGGAGGGTGAATGATTCAGTCAATGACGTCGAAGAAGTGTGAAAATAACCTGTTAACACTCGTCAAGACGGCCAAGAGTAGCCATAAAAGACTCTCTGAGCCCATAAGTCCGCAGAAAACTCGAAGTGCGAAGTGCACACATGAGGCGAGCTCGGGCTGTGTCTTTCTCAGTACCCTGTACCATACTAACCTGTTGATAATAATCCAGTCAACACACTGGCTCTACATCCTACTCCCAGATACTTGTTAAGCACAGCCGTCCACGTCCCACCACGGGTTAGTGAGAAAATGAGAAAAGTATGCTCTCTTTTCACAAACGCGACTGAATTCAGATAGTTTGTTGCGCAGGAACAGCAACCAATCACATGTGACGAACTGCGTGCCTCCTGAACCCAATCAGGATCACTGGCAGCCAAGCGTGTCCGCCCTGACAACAAGGCCCTGAGATCGTCAACAGATGTTTTCACCACGCGGAGAATCCCAGCAGGAAGAGCAGTCCCCTCAACTGCGGCTATCCCATCCATTTTTTTAAGGCAACAGCACAACAATCCAACAGTTCGCCACCCACACCGAACTCCATATGCTAACAACCAAAGACCGCAAGATCTGGGCCATCGCACAGCACTACGGCCAAAGGCATTCCACTCCACCACGTGATCTGCTTGGCTCAAACACCAACAGTGTAACAGGCCAAAATCACCACATTCAACAGGTCCAACTCCAAATCAACAAGGGTAGCTGGTCTTGTCACAAGACCAGGAAACTTCGCGCCTCATAGCGAGACAATTGCAGGCCGAGAATCTGGCACGGGATCAAGTCAGAGGGGGAATGGACACAGAAAGGTGGCTTTCCCCGCCCAAGTTATGACTGAGGGGCAACACCATTGTCGCTGGAAAAAACTGTTGGATAAATTCAAGACTATCACCAGAAAATGTCCCACTTGGCATCAAAGGCAGGTGGCAAGGAGTACAATTCTGAGACGGTGAAATGGTTTGCGCATGTCAATGGGCCTCACCATGGGTAAAGCCATTAGTGTTGCTTTACCATCATGGCATTCTCAAAAGTGGAGCAGCAGAATGGGTTTGTCTGAAAAGAGAATACCCCGGATACACCTAATTCCACTTGTGAATCATAATCTTCCTCTTTAAACTACAGTTTACCCCATTTTCAAACACAACCAAACGAATCTTCAAATTTGGATACTTTGGCGGCGGCGCACCGTGAGAAGCACAGGGTTGAAGATCCACACGGAAGCCTGGAAGCCAACCAACGCACTAAGTCATTGCCGCTCAGTCAGCTGCAAATGGAAATGTGTGCACGAAACATCTTGGAAACCGAAATATCTTTGAGCAGAAAGATTGCTACCCATACGCATAATAAACATCGTGAACCGATGGATTCTTTTGTCCGCCATGGGTGCTGAAGCATCCGTAGGCCGGCAAACGACGACGGCTGAAAGAAAACACGTGAAAGCGCAAACTGTTGGATTCTCTGATTTTGTTCTACACTGTCTACAAACTCTCCCTGACTTTCGTACTGGTTCCAGATGTATTTATGTGTGTGGTGACGCCATTGTGGCCGAGGGCCCCTTACACGTCTTCTAGTAATTCGGTGTGCGTTGGCACTGTTCGGTTGGCATGTGATCCGCTTCAGAAGTTCTTTGAATACGTCCTACAAATTTGGCACGTTTGCCCCAAAGGAGGTCAGAGAAAAGTTTAATATGTTTGCCACTGATTTTGGACGCTCTTCGCAAGACGAACTCATTTGTGCTGTTACGGTTGATGAATGCAGGTTCTCACCGTAAAATCTTCCGCAGCTCTTTGAGCTGGAATGCATTGATTTTCTTTGTACACTCTGAGTGAGGTGCATGTTCTCCAGTCCATACAAAAGTTTGTTTCGGGTGATAACGTCATACACTTCGATTTTCCATGCCGCAGTACAAGTTGCTGCTCTCCAGAAAGTACTGAGATTGCACCAGGTCTGCACGACTAGTTGCAATTTCAAGTCGAGATCTTATCTGATATTCATGGGCTGGGAGAAATGATGGCCCAAGTAAACGACGGTTTCCGTTTTTCTTTGTAATTTGACACCATCGTGAAAATTGACTTGGTTATTCCCATTCATGGCCATAAAGCAACACTTTCCTCTGTTCAAACGGAGGCCGTATTGCATAGACACTTCTTCTATTTCTTTCAAAAGTCTGTCTGCCGCGTAAGAACTTGTAGTAATCAAAAAGTGTGTCATCTGCAAAATACAGTCTGTCAAACGATACCCGATTCAATCTAGCATTGACTGTGCGTCGGTGCGTCTATCCAGGTTTAAACCCACGTCTCTGTCAATAAGCGACACAATTTGTGCACAAATAAAAACGGGGGAAGGGGGCATCCCGGGCATCCCTGCTTAATCCCTGACGATTGGGTTTTCATAGCTGATTCCCTGAATTCATCCGTTTGGAGTAGTTTGGAGTAACAATGTGTGGTCCGACTTTCCTTTGAACCCAAATATCAGGTCACCCGTGCCCAGAAGCTGGCATCATGTTGCTGGTCGATCTGAAAGAGATTCCAAGATTGGCATGTAAAGGATGGCCCATGGATGGCCCCAATATGCACCAGCTAGTCAGCTCTATATAGATTTGGGTCAAAATTGAGCATCCCAAATTTTGGATTCATACTACGAGTTACTAAAATGTGCGTATACATTGAGAACGGGTCAGTGGACCCTCCTCATAAACTGCTATTCACATCCAAGAATGGTCATCATTTTGGATTGTGTTCAAAACCACGCAAAAGATTTGGATGCTTTGTGGCTATTCGGTGATTATTGGGTTTTGACTCAGACCCATATGTATGTATGCATGTATGCATGTATGTATAATCCTGATTGCCTACATAGAATATGCACTTTTTCAACGCTTCGGGTGTCGACGGAAAAAAAGAAACTTAGAATATTTGGGGTAGAAATAGTTGGGGTAGAATTTTGGAGTGCACAACCAGAGCCAAAGCAAATACCCTAGGAACAACGATTTTTCCATATCGCAAACAGGTGTGAAACCCAGCAGTTTGGTCATTTTTCAAGTTCTATCAATTGCAGAAATTGGAAAAAGCAAGAAAAATGGAGACACGAGAAAATATAAGCGGACACCCTCAAAATAACAATACGTCAATAACTTTTGGATCAGGATTGTGGAAAGAAATGGGTTTCCTAAATAGACCCTTTTTTGACTACTTTCACATTAAAGAAGGCAATTTGAAGTTCACAAAAGGGTCCCCCCACAAATTACCAAATTAAGGCTGCGGCAATCCATGCCTCTGTCAAAAACCTGGGAAAAAAAAAAACGAAAAATCATATTCTTAATATTCTAAGTAACGTTTTTTGGTCGATTTCGCAGATGCGTTTATTCTAAGTAACGTTTTTTTCCTATTCCGGGAGATGTTTTCTGAGGCCGAAATTATCGATTCTATATTTTATGTATCCCATCAAGATTAAATTTAATTCTAAAGACCTATGTATCTATCTATCTATCTATCTATCCATCCATCCATCCATCCATCCACCCACCCATCCATCCATCCATCCATCCATCTATCATCTATCCATATATCCATCTTTCCATCCATCCATCTATCCATCTATCCATCTATCCATCTATCCATCTATCCATCTTTCCATCTTTCCATCTATCCATCCATCCATCCATCCATCTATCTATCTATTTATCTATGTATCTATGTATGCATGTATGCATGCATCTATGTTTTTTGGAATGATGGATAGATGGAAAGATGGAAAGATAGATAGATAGATAGATAGATTGATTGGATTAGATTAGATTAGGTTAGATTAGGTTAGGTTAGATTAGATTAGGTTAGATTAGATAGATAGATAGATAGATAGAGACAGATAGAGATAGATGGAGATAGATGGAGATAGATAGAGATAGATAGAGATAGATAGAGATAGATAGAGATAGATAGAGATAGATAGAGATAGATAGAGATAGATAGAGATAGATAGAGATAGACAGAGATAGACAGAGATAGATAGAGACAGACAGAGATAGACAGAGACAGACAGAGACAGATAGAGATAGATAGAGATAGACAGAGACAGATAGATAGAGACAGATAGATAGAGACAGATAGAGATAGATGGAGATAGATGGAGATAGATAGAAATAGATAGAGATAGATAGAGATAGATAGAGATAGATAGAGATAGATAGAGATAGACAGATAGATAGATAGACAAATAGATAGATAGGTAGGCAGGTAGATAGATAGATAGATGGATAGATGGATAGATGGATACAGTAGATGTATAGATGGATAGATGTTGGCATAATTGCATAGGGAGACAGAGAGACATCTGGTACTGGGATAGCATAGGATAGGATAGCATAGGATAGTATGGGATAATAAGATAAGATAAGATAAGATTGATAGGTAATCAGATAGGTATGTAGATAGGTGAGTAGGTAACTAGGTAGAAAACGTATGTACCGTATGCGGATCATATGCGTTTGAAAATGATCAAATGATCAGCATCTGAGGTCTCGGGCTACAAGAAGCCTCCACTTCCGGGGCGACAGAGAACCTCCAGACGGAGAGGGCAAAAAAACACGCCGTTGTCTTCCTCATTTTCCGAACAGTTTCCCCAGTTTTTCTGAATTTCCACATCTATGTAAACCTTTACCATAGTTTCATCGAGTTTCCTGTTTTCCATATGTTCCATAAAGTGAGTTGCCTCCAAATGAATCGTATATGAAAGTTTATGAACAAAAAAAATAGATGATGAGATGTGATGAGATGATGTAGGACAATGAGTACCCCCATTTTGGGAAACCTCCATGGATCAACTCGGCACCTCGGTCCAAGCCCCGACACACGGCAGCACCCAGCAACGAGGCACTGCCCACCTGGCGGCGAAGGACGGCGATGATCGTTCCCTGGAAGGGAAAATTCCGAATTTCATCATCAAACATAGCGATTTAACCTTCCAGAATAGTGATTTGATGATGATCAAAAATGGCAATTAAACAATTAAACCATCAAAATACTTATTTTACATGATTTAACCATCAAAATTTTTGATCGGACCCTCGGGCATCAATAAAAAATGTACATTTACATGTTCTGATATGCCGCAGCTCCTCCATTGGATCACATATAACCCACGGGATGATGGTTACAATCACTGTGTCGCGGGTTTGACACAGCCGACCTTCCGTGTCTGGTATTGCAAGTCGTACTTTGGTTTCACAGTGTCAATATTGTTGCCAAAAACAAACGTTGTTGATGCAATGATTGGCACATCTCTGAAAAGGCCTTCCCCACAATGGCGACACAGCACAATTCGTCTGCAATTTTGGATCGGAAAAAACATGCCAGCGAAGCAGTGAAAAGCGTCAACGCACTAACAATGCAAGTTGCCCCACATTTTTTGCGCAGAAGCAATAAGCAAGGCCTCGTAACGAAATGTTTAGCAGGATGCCAAGTTGTCATATCAATTTCACCCCAGATAAAATAAATCAATATAATTTGATGGTTTAGTTCCAAAAATTGTTACTTTTTCAAATGAGAACCAAATTCCTCAGCACCCAACGCAAGCACTGTGCTGCCAAAAAGAACCAGGGCCACCAAAGTGTGCTTCACCAACCGAACCTGCAGTTTCAACTCGCCACTTCGGTCCATGGTTCAATGGCGCAATGTTCAATCATTTTGATGGTCTCACTGATGAGTCTTCCCACCATTGGATCACCCAGCCAATCCAAACATAACTGTAAGATCACATCAATTGTGGTGTAATTTTCCACCAGGGTCACATTCCACATTTTTTTGTGAATTTTCCAGGGATGGTTCGTAGCAATAGACCAATTTTTTTTGGTGCACTGAGTGTGCAGTTTAAGCCATGCCCAACTGAGATCATGACACCCAACCAGGACATGTCACCTTCACCTGCCGTTCCAGTTGAAGGATTTGTTGCTCATGAAATAGGGAAAAAGAAACATTGACAGCATTGGCAAAACGAATTTTCATGGGAAATCGATGCGTTTTTTCCAAATGATTCAAAACAATTCATTGTTCGTGCTGCGACAAACCCCAATTCTGACTCGAAGCACCTTGAATCAAACTGCCATTGTGCAGGCCATCTAAAAATTACCATCATACCAACAAATATGACACATGGATTTTGAATCATTTTTTATCAAATACTTCGGGAATTGATGTTTTGTTTTTACAGCATAATGATGTTCCAAACAAAATTGTGCCATTGAAAAGCTTAAAATCGCAACGATAGTGTTCTGACCCAATGAATGACGCTATGCAATTTGGAAGTGTTGGTTATGGAAATTGACAAACGCAAAAACATTGGCATCGGAGCTTTGCTTGAACCATAACATCGCGGCATGATGATTATGAATTATGATGTTTGATGATGTGAAACATACCAGTCATAAGGGCCCCAAAAAAATACAAATTAACATCATGAATATCACAACATGAAACAAGACACGTTATTCACCAATAAAGGTGCTGATATGATTACATTCAATTCAACCAAAATTAAATACGTTTGCTCCCAATATCTGATGGGCACAAATATGTTTCAACATAATTCATTTCCGGGTCAAGGAATTGTATTGCAATGTTGCCCATTTATTCCAAATAAATTCCTATTTTTGTTGCTAAAACAAAATTAGGCGAAAATAAATGTGATGAACATCAGTTTGACAGGTAAATTTCCCAAGTTGGACCGAAAGAACCTTGAAATATCATAATTTTGATCAGTGTATATCTGGTAGGTTCAAACTTAATGGAGGATGGAGGTCAGTTTGGTTCATCAGTGAAGTTGGACAAAAATCCGCGCCGAAATGCCCAGGCATGACCAAAATTGCAGCTGGAGGTTGTTAAACGCATTGTAAGAGCTGCACACAGAGAAGAATTGGGCTGCACGAGCTACAGAAAAACCAGCTGGGAGGCAGAAGTTGCCCAAATTAGTAGTTGTTCAAAGAAGAAGTATGCAGCTGAGAGAAGAGGTGCTTCAGCAAACGGGCCGCTCGGTGAAGAAGTAGTTCTACAAAGAAAAATGTTTCACTCATCAGTCCATCCATCCACCCACCCATCAATTCTTTCATTCGTTCATTCAATTGTTCACACTGAATCATTGATTCATGGTTCATTGATTCAATGCTTCGTTGATTCACTGATTCATTGATTCATTGGTTCAATGTTTCATTGGCTGGCTGATTCTGTGATTCACTGGTTCGTTGATTCATTGATTCGTTGTTTCATTGACCCATTGGTTCGTTGATTCGTTGATTCGTTCATTCATTGATTCATTGTTGCACTGGTTCAATGATTCATTGAATCATCGCATCACTGATTCATCAGTTCATTGATTCACTGATTCGTTGATTCGTTGGTTCGCTGCTTCATGGGTTCATTATTTCGAAGATTTATTGATTCATTGATTCGTTGCTTTGTTGCTTCATGGGTTCATTGACTCGCTGTGTCATTGATTCATCGACTCACTTCACTACTGCACACATTCATTGTTTCATTGGTTCATCGCTTCATTGATTCACTGATTTCTTGATTCATTGATTGATTGGTTCCATCCTCTGATTCAGTGATTCATTGCTTCGTTCCTTCATCGATACACTGATTCATCGACTCATTGTCAGTGGTTCACAGATTCATCGTCCCATTGGTTCATTGATTCATGGATTCTTTCATGTGATCTCATTGGCATCTCAACAACCATTCGTTGATGCACTTCACAACTTCAGCACTTCGTTGCTTCTGCATCTCAAAAACTTTCCCATAGGCCATCTTCTTCCTATAAGGGTTTTAATTTTCGAAACTCCCGCCCCGGCACGGGCCAAACACTGCCTGGCAGTTCAGGGGCCGATGCAAGGAATGGTCAACTGGTGCAGTTTTAGCGGGGTGAAGCAATTTTTTTAGGATCGCACCTGAAACAATAACACCCAAACAGAAAAGGAAACAAAACCAGAAAGCAAGAAGCAGAATCAAACAAAAACAAAACAAAAACAACCGCCAACACAGGTCATAGCCATAGCGACAGTAACCGCATGCATGCAAGCCCGGCTCTCAAAACACGTTGGTGAGGGCAAATGATGCACGAGATGTCATTCCAAATCAGCAGGGCATGTGTCACAGATTGGATGGCCACTAGATAGTCATGCTGACAATCTGATAGTTTGTGTTCTTCTCAAAGCAAAAGTATGTCCAGTGTAGCAAATGAGCATGGTTTGATGTTGAAAACCTTTCTGCAATCGAGAACCTTGGTGCCAATGTTGCAAACCAAGGGTACACTGCGTCAGCAGCCGTTTGCCAAAGTCTTTGCCAAAGTCTGGGTATGGCAGTAAGCAGCGTAGAGATGGAAAGGGCCAACAGTCAGCAAAGACAGCAAAGTGTGCGAATGATAAAGTTTCGATCTCCTTAGATCAAACCCCCTAAGTTCGGAAATCAGAACCTCAAATACCTAAAACGAAGTTTCTCCTTCGACTCCTAAGCACAAGCGCCAGCTTCAATCTTTTGCTCGGACGCACACAGGAGTCAGATCCTCTCAGGCAGGACACACCTGCAAGAGAGAGAGAGGGAGAGAAGAAACCCCAAGCGAAAACCAGACAACAGAAGCGAAAGCAGCTGCATGTTGGTTTGTGATACACAGTTCATCTTGACATCAAGACTCCCTTGGGCCAATGTCTGAAATGGAAACGCAAATCCAGGTTCAAAAATCACGAGCTTTCCTAAAAGATCGACTGAACAATTCCACATTGCGTTGATCACAAATTCAGCTAGCTACTAAAGCATGATCTACTTCCAAAAGTTCTCAAATACTCTTGGTTCTCATCCAAACGTGTATAACCAGAGTTCTTCACACTCAAGAACGAAGTAGATGATTACAACTCTTCTATACAGAGTTGTTCTGGTTTACAAAACTTCCACAAAACTCCTTCAAACATGAAGTTCGATCTCCAATAGCATCTCACTCGGCCAAAATAGTTCCAGCTTCATGAAAGGCAATGGAGAGCAGAAGTTCTGCTCTACATTACAGGTCTCCAGCAACACCAGTGCGGAATATATCGTTGGAATCGCCAAACAACCACGTAATGCAGAAACACCAGATAAAGAAATACGCAACCCAAACCAATTGCTCCAATCGCAGTAGAGTTGGTGTCCAAGGTCATCTCTCACAGATTATACTTGGCACCAACCAATCACAGCAATAAAGGTCAATCACCTTGATCACCGTTGACAAATAGTCAGTGTTCTGCTAATGGAGCGACAGGCTCCATAATATGGTACCACGTCATCACGGAACATGATGACGGTGTAAAATGTCAGAGATAAGCTATTGCATTTCAGCCAAAGCGTCTGATTCTCACACCAAATGCAGATGCAAATGCATCATTCTGCAGCAAATCATCCAGTTAAGATAGCCGCGGTAGCCAAACCGCTTCAATCCAGCTGAAAATCCACCATACGCAGAAATGAACACATCCCACGATAGGACTTCTCGTGGTGAGCCTCGTTAGCACAACCACATCTTCATGCAGAAAGAATACACTCCACCATGGAGAGCAAGGTGTAGAAACCCAGGGATCGTTTAGACATTGTATTGTGGGTGGCGTCCACAGGATATGGATGTTTCCACACCCCCTTTCGACGTCCACAATCAATATTGCAAACTGATATCCTGGACGTAGAACTTAGTCGCCGCCAGAGCACCGAGTTTGCAAAGTGTGAATGTCCAAAAGGTCCCAGTGCATTGTGCCTGAAGTCCTTCCAATTGTACACTGTTCCAGAAGGACCGAAATAAAATTCCTGAAAATGTACGTATCAATACAGCGTGAACAAGAGAACAATCGAATTCTCCCACGAGCCACACGATCAGATAGCTGCATCCATATGACCCGTCGCCTTTGACTTCATCCGCCTCCAACGAAGACGGCATAAGACGTAACTTCTGAGCTTTGAAACCAGTAACACTGCCTCCAAAAATTCTCAAAGCTGATAACTGCCCCTCCATCTCCAGAAAACAGTTCGGAAAATTCCAGTCAGTCCACAGATGGCACACAAACCATAAACCATGGCTTCGATCGGAATTCACTACGGTGTTGTTGCAAAAGAGAGAAAGAGAAGATCCCCAGAGCACACACACTAGATAAGAATGGATCATTGAAGTGATCCGGCAGGAACTGAATCCTGTAACATGCAAATTAGACGGGAACCGAATTAATCTACGATGAAAATATGTATACATATATATATATACGTAAGATCACAGTAGACAATGACAGTATAAAACAACAGCGATAAAATATATGTCCCCCCCAGCTGCGTCTTAAATGCGCCCAGGGGCGGGACGATAAAGCAGGTACGTTTACCTGATCATCCAGTGTGGAGCTTCGGTGGCAGAGGCCACAACTGGAGATCCCTCTGCCCCCTGCCATAAAATAGCATATAATATCATATAATATAAAGACGAAGTTTTACGTCTATTCAGACGGTACACACACACACACCCTGCCTCTGGCAGGGTGGTGCGCGTAAAAATGAGATGAAGATGAGGATGAACGGGGGATGAAAAATGAGATGAGAGTGAAGATGAGATGAACGTTACTTAACCAGGACACGAAGAGGGGAACGCAAAAGAAGAGGGAAGGAGCAAACACACACCAACACACCTAGCCCGGAGCGGGCGAACCCTGACTAGACGACGGATGGCCCGAGAGCGTAGAGGAGCAGGGTCTTCTCTTGTTAGTATGGAGACGCAATTTTAGAAACGATATATGAAAGATGTGTTATAGGCAGTCGACAAGAGGAGTATCAAGACAAAATAGTGAGAAGTGCAAGACAATAGTTTATCACAAACACTTTTACACACAGACGCTTTTACACACAAAAGCTTTTACACACAGAAGCTTTTACACACAGAAGCTTTTACACAGACGCTTTTACACACAAAGCTTTTACCCACAGAAGCTTTTACATACAGAAGCTTTTACATACAGAAGCTTTTACACACAGACGCTTCTACACAGACACTTTTACACACAGACACGTTTACACACAGACACTTTTACACACAGACCCTTTTACACACAGGAGCTGCTTTTACATACAAACGCTTGTACACACA